ACATTAGCTAAATTTATACTGAGTATAAAAACCGAAATTGCAATGAAATAAAATACAAGCAACAATTGAAACTTGAACAATAGAAAAATAAAAATCAAAAGATTTAATCGGGTGATGACCCGAAGACGATTGTGGATATTATCAATCAAAACGTCGTGGAGTAACATGGCCTGAAATCTTTTAATTTTTCTTTCTTTCTTATTGTTCAATTTTAAATCGTTGCTTGTATTTTACTGTATTATAATTTTATATCATATTAGACAATGGAAGTCCGAAATTCATTCATTAATGTTTGTTCCTCGATAAAGTACACTTCATTAAATGTAGTGCTTTAGTCACTTGCTGTTTGAAATATTATTGAAATATAAGGGTGTTAAAGTGGAAGTTCAGTGTTTTATTTCTGTTGGAGTTCACACAATTTTTAATGTACAAAAATATAATAACCTACATAGCACCACATTATGGTCATTCATGTATCTTCATACTCAAACTGTAATTTAAATTCAAAATATCTTGTTTCAAAAATATGTTTTGAATGAATATAGGCAATTATTTTGAGATAAACTTTATTATGTGTAATATGCGACCTTTTAAATCTTCCAAGCCAAGCAATGTAACGTGTTTGCTAGGTAATCAATAATATTGTAGGCACCTTAATGAAAACTCATTCAAAAACTAACAAAGAAATTACCGGCTGTCACTTGACTTAGGTCACTCATTCAATCATCTTCACACACAAAAGTGTCTCTATTATATTTTCCCAAAACAGCATATGAGAAGTTAGTAAAAACACAAGAAGTCACAGAAGGTCCCAATTTTCAAAGTATTTTTTGTTCGAATCATCAACAAAAAATTAAATCATGAAGCACAAAAAATGGGTAAATCAAGGCAAATAATTCAGTAGGCATCCCACTGGGAATATGAATAGTTCTACAATGTTATTTACTATTTTCGTGAATATTTCAGAAATCCTAAATAATGACAGTTATTTTTGTCAATTCACTAATTATACTAATGATATAAATTTGTTAGTGTCAAGTTACAAGTGTCAAGTGATGACTGTTACACAGAGTAAGCCACTAGTTCTCGACATTTTCAGAACTGAACAATATTTCTTGGTTTATATATGTTAACGAACACTTAAATTGGTAAACTCATCCAACTGGTTAGCAGAAAAATTGATTTTTTAACAGAAATTTTGAATAAAGCGTTATATCAAATGTGTTACCGTATCAGGGTTATCATATAGTACCTATCTGAATGAAAAATCACTAAAAAGTATATATTCGGCACATTTTCAATCTTCAATTAAATTTAGGGTATTATAATAGGGGAGCCCAAGCGGGGATTTCGGGATTTATTGAAGCGTGGCAGATTAATATACAGGGGGATACCTTGTTAAGTAACTCCACCAAATATGAGCCCCATATATAGGGCCGCCCGTGAAGGATAAAGGATCAGATTAGTAAAAAAAAAATTGATCATCAGAAATTCTCGAGCGCGTCAGATTAAGGTAGGGTGAGTTAATTATATGCTAAAAAGTGTATATTCCAGTAATCTAACAATTTGAGAGTTTCGTAAAGAAAGGGGAGGGCAGCAAAGTTGTGAAAAAAACGTCATCTCGACATTCTCGAGCGTAGCAAATTTTTTTTTTTAAGAAAATAATTCAAGGATATCGAAAAATATATAATCTGACGATTTCTGCAAGCCGAAATAGCAAAAATTCGTCGAGAAAGTTTAATGCGTGCATCTGCGCGATGCCTATATTTCCCTCTCCGCGTTTCCATTCCTTTTTCTGTATCTATTACTCTCTTACTCCGTCCCCACTCGGAATTCTGTTGCCATGACGCCATCACAGCTGATCACTGAGACTCGTTCGTGATGAAGATGATGATTAATTAATCAATTAATTGATGGATCTAGCCGTTACTACGTGGTAGGAAATCATAATGAAGAAAAGAGAAATGAAACTTTCTATGTTTTTTACCACTTTTATTTGTAACTAACGTTACTGCAGTTTCGTCCTATAAGGACATTTTCAAACTTATNTTCCTTCTTTTCACTTTTAACCCTTACGTACAACCACCCACATCATGCAAACGATCAGATTAACATACCAACATTATTGAAAATACGTAGAACATTGATGCTATCAATATCTGACGCGCTCGAGTATATCCATGCAACAGTTTTTTTTACATATTTAATAATCTATAGCAGCTTCCCCCACCGATGAAAAGGTATATATTATATAACATTTTTTTTATCATCTAAGCTTTGCAACCTAATAGGTCTCTATGACGCTCGAGTAAATCCCCATTTTGCATCGTGGGCTCCCCTGCTATTATTCTAGGAAAGTAGCACTAGTACATCTGATATATTCATTATACAAAAAATAGCAATGAGAATGAGAGTAAGTAATTTTCAAACTTTCAACAGTCGTCATGCCGATGAATTGTCAAGGCAAATGATATCCTGACACTATACGCAATTTATATCTATGAGAGTATACTATATGTTATTTTTGTAATTATTTGAAAATAGAAGCAAATTCTTAGAAATTAGATCAAGTCATAATAATCCCATCAAAATCATTTTCATGTAAAGTACTGCCAAGATGAGTACATAATGCTTGTTCTAAAAAAGTTATCAAATATCATAATGCGCCATTCATTACTTTAGGGCATGCAGACACGCTTGAACTCTACAAACCCTAACTCATACTAGAAGTCTGGCCTGACCAGTTTCATAGGAATGTCAAAGGCTTGGTCTTTTTGTCACAAATTCGTTCTGGAGAAATTATAGAGTTAAGTTATATCGACACGCCATCACATAAGTAGCTTGGCTCACTATGATATTTGATGAACTTTTCATAGTGCAAGCAATATGTACTCCTCCTGGCAACACTATTTCTAAATGTTTTTGGTGAAATACCATTTTTTTCCTAAGTTGCATGTAGCAATGTTTTTTGTTTTTCATTTCATTTTTTCTGTTAATTTTTTGCTTATTTGAAGTCCTTTTTGACAGTCAACTATATATCTCAGCTTTTTTTCGGCTTATTAGTTGCAATAAATCAGGATACATAGCTCTTAACAAGTTATGTTCAACAGTTGTGCTTTGATACTACCAAAATCAATTTGATGAAACTGACCGATATTTTATGAAAATCCATTATTACATATGCAAATAGCTTTATTGTGAGATTTTCACTCAACAGTTTACAAAACCCAACCCTGTGATTCGCTATAAACCGTTGAGTGAGAATATCACAATAAACTTTCATTTGAATATGTTATGAGATGAACACCTTGTGAATTACAGTCATTCTGGAGAGTGTAACATAAGCCTACCTACAAGCATTATTCAAAGCTAGTCCTTGGGTCTTATATTGTGATGATACATTGAAAGTTGATCAAAAACTGCTCAGAATTTCCCCATTCCTATAAAAATCAATGAATGTTTTGTCACGCATGTGTTGAATTCTATCACAATATAATTACTAATTTATTAGTAATTATACAAATCTACATTTCCTAAATACCAATTTTCATGTATCTAGCTTGAAATTCGATCAAACCTCCATACAAACTTTCACTCCCCCCTTTCAGGGGATGGATGGAAAATGTACATTATTGTGTGTTAACGTGTTAACCTCAGTGTACATAGCAACTTCCACTGTTATATGACTTCAGAAAATACTCTAAATGTTAGTCAGTGAGTGACGAAATCTAAGTTTTTTTTAGATATTAATAAAATTGAAGGTGAAATAGCAATACATCTGAAACTTAGTATGTTCAATTAACCCCTTATTGCCATCACATTCTGAGACTTTTATTTTTTAGCATTATCCAGACCGAAACTATGCCAGTTGGAAAATGCCATGAAATGCTTGTACCTAGCTCTCCAATCTTAGGCATAATGTAAATGTGTCTTTTCTAATTCACTTCAAAATTGTCCTAGAATTGGTGATGATAGTCAGCAATTGCAAGCTGCAATGTAAAATCAGACAAGTTACATTATTTACTATAAACAAAAATCTACAGTACACTGGATTATCAATGTTCAATAACTATCAGGTGCAGGCCCTTTGGCATACTTCTCCTCTTTGCTTCTTTCCCCATTCCAAGCTTGGCGATGCCTTTCATTCCTCATAGCCACCATTCTCTTCATCTGCTTATGTCTCAAAGAACATTCTCTGAAATCCTGTATCAACAAATCGCATTTCTTCAGCCCTTTGTCGAGACCATAAGCTTCAAAACATTCCAAAACCTTCATTTCCATATCGGCGCATTCACCGTACCACTGGTGACTTATGAGCCCAGCTGTAAGGTCCGTGAATGGAGACTTCAGCCAAGGTGAGACGGACATTTTACAGTGAACCTGAAATATCATGATAGGAGTTATATCATCAATATCAAAATTATTGGCATGATGAAACTACTTCCTACTAAGAAAGAAGTCTATTGCTTACACAATTAAAGACGTTTTTCTATACAAATTTGTTCGAAAATTTGTCAATTCGTCTTAAGACTTCCTTGAAGGGTGATATAATTAAATTGTTTTTCACCTTAAATCTTAAAAGGTTGACATCTGTGCAAAAACAGTGTTGCCATTCCTAAAATTGTTTTGCGCGTGATTGGTATTGAAAATATGGAAAATTGGATCGAAAGGTACGAAATACAAATTCATAAAGAAATGGGCGCATACACCAATCACAACCTCATAAAGAGCTTTCTGCATCTATAGTTTTTGAAATGTAGCTCATTGAGAAAGGTGAAAAAAATTAAGTAAACACATGAAATGATACGGTTGCAGGCTCCTCATGGATATTACAATATATATGCATGAAAATCAAAAGATAAATAGATGAGTACTATTCTGATTATCCCCATATTGATTTCAATTTAAGAGCCACCGGTAGACAGCTGTTTCAGCCTGCCCGGTACTGATGATGCCCAATAGGGTGAAACAGCTGTCTACCAGTGGCTCAAATTGAAATCGAAATGATTTTCATGGAATTATTGTCCAGCAGCTTGACTGCATTAACCTTTCTCGATTTCATATAATTTCCAGAAACATGTGATTCGTTTTCCGTTGGCATTCCAGGATAACTTCCTAAATTTCTGCTACCGCAGATTAGTTAACCCACCAACGCCAACATAAAAACTTGTCAAGTTAACTTGGGTATCACACCAATAGGTGTTTCCACTTATGTATCGCTTGCGTTTACGCAGTTATTTTTATTAAGTACTCTTCTTGGTTATTCACATTTTGTCTTCAATCAATGTTCTCATCACAAAATCCAATAACTCCTCCACCCACACAGTCTACAAGAAACCAACACACACAAACAGATACCTCAATGCAAACTAACACCATCATCTAGTACAAACCAACTCCATTTTGAATTCTCTCGTCCATAGATCTATCAACCTCATGGACCACGACAACAAACCACAAGAGCTAGCCCAACTCGAATCAGCTCTCCTTCAAAATAGATTCACAGACCATCAAATTGACAGATCCATTCGTCGTCAACAAGCTTCTTCGTCCAGTTCCAAAGATCCAAAAGACAACAACGTTCCCCACAAAGCTTTCCTTCCCTACATTAAAAGTGTAACTGACAAAATTGGCCGAATTCTCAAAAAACAGGACATAAAAACGATATTCACCGCCAACAATCAAATTTCCACATTCCTTCGTTCTCCCAAGGACAAAATTATCAATGAATCCCAGGGTATATATGAAATTCCATGCTCCGATTGCGATTGAACATATGTAGGCCAGACCAACAGACGTGTGACAAGTAGAGTATACGAACATCAACTTGCTGTCCGAAAGTCAGAACCATCCTCAGCCTTATCAAAACATCATCAAGAGACAGGACACAATTTGCGAACACTAAGACCATCGCCACAGCGGAAACACTCCAAGCTCGGATAATTCGCGACGTCATCGAAATCGATAAGCGACCTTTCTGCCTGAACAATAGTGATGACAGTCAAAGACTTCCAACTGCCTGGAAACCCCTAATTTTCCGATGCTCGCCCCACACCAAGACGTCCGGTGATCCGGTAATCACCCGAATCCCTGCCCCCACCTTTCCGCTTCAGTAGCTTCCGTCGATATAAATACCACCGAACACCGAACACCCATCGACACCTCAGTTCAATCTGAGGAGTTGGCAGATTTATACCATAGAGAGAACTCGCGACGAGACCTGGGGAGTAGGCATAGAAACACCCTATATTTTATCATGCATTTCGATTCGTAAAAACATTCTCAACAACTAGGCTCATATCATTTTTCTTTCTAAAGTTGAGAGCGACTTATGTGGATATATTTCAGTAGTACAAAAAAGTCTTTGTTTTTGCAAATAAAACCTCATGATTGTCCAAACACCCAATTTTGATACTCATAGGAATGACAATATTCTGTAACTAACAGCAAAAAGAAAAAAATACGCTGGTATTTGAACGCGTGAAACGCGTGATTAACATAAATATGTCGTACCACTTACCCAGATCCTAACCCAGACAGCAAAGTGTCTGGGACTCAATTAACTTCAACACGACTCTGCTACATATATGAAACCTTCCTCTGAGTGAAATATTGTTAACTAGTAACAACTCCATCTCATGAACAAAGCCCCAAGGGGGGCTTTGATCATCCAACTACCTACTATATGTAGATACCTATGTGTAGGTAGTTGGGAAAGATTAATATTTTGAAATTTATTTCGAAATATTTATTTCGTATACGTATGTATATCTCCTCGATAGTTTTCACTTTTGATTCCTGTTAGAGTTTTGGTATATGGGATGTTTCTTTCCCCCTTGGGACTTTGTTCACGAGATGGAATTGTTACTAGTTAACAATATTTCTCTCAGGCGAAGGTTTCATATATGTAGCGGAGCCGTGTTGAAGTTAATCGAGTCCCAGATACTTCGCAGTCTGGGTAGGATATTTCCTGTACTGACGAGAGGTATATAATACCGCAAAACCACGATCTGTAGGTGATCTACTTGAATAATTTCAGTTTGATCTGTGGGGAATCTTGCATAAATGTTAGTCGGATATAATTCAATATCCAGCGTGGTACTAGCCGGGTGTTTTTCGGTGGTTTATAAATAAATGCAGATCCAAACTTTTATAGAAATATTTTATGGAGCGATGAGGCAAATTTTTCAAATTGTGGGATGTTTAATAGAATTAATTTTCATTATTGGAATAGACAAAATCCATTTCTAGTTTGTCTGCAAAGACGCAAAATGGATGGAATACTGAAGACTTTTTTAAATCGTTTGAATGGCATTCCTTATATTCTGAATTCAAAAATTCCAAAATGGTTAGTTCAATCACTTGAAACCAGGAAATGTTCATTTTCGCATGTTTCTTATAACGCCAATCAGAGCTCTTGTGCAACTGCCGTTTATTTTTTGAGATCCGAGTCGGAAGAAAGGGTTGACGTTTAATTGGGGCAGTCAAAATTTTGAGTTTTGCCTTCAAAATGAATAACGATACTACGACTTGAACTGTTGACTGCTTCAATTGGAGTAAAATTATCAAAGGCTGTAATAGAGAGTATACTTTTTTATGTACCTGTTTTTTGATGGTCTAATTCTACTACAGTTTTGTCATCAATAAAACGAAACAAAAACTGAAAACATTTCGTGTGGAATCGAGAACAGCAATTCAGCAAATCTACCTAGCTGCTTGAGGTTGTCCCCCAAAATAGTTGGTCGAATCTAGATGATGGAAGAGCCCCGCGTGGTTGAAAAAGTCCCCCCATGTGTGGCTTGTTCGGAATTTTGTTGTTGAAGAAGAGGATGCTGACCATCAGAAGGGGATAGTTAAAATTTCACGAATATTATTTCACGAGTGACTTCTCATAGTATCACCAACGATTTTCCCGAATCGAAAAATTGTGAAAGTATTGAGCTGGGTTCGCATATTCACTTACAGCTCTTTTAAAAAAGATATGCAATTGTAAGGGATATTGTCCCTGAATGAGTTGATTTTTCTGAAAACTCCATTATAAAGATGATTCAGAGAAACTTAAATATGAGCGGCATTCGAAAGCCTTTCATGTTGGTGTTCAGAGCTTGATGAGTTTGTTGAGAGAAGTTTGTTTACCAGATTTTGAGGTTACAGAGGCCATGGATCTCAGAAAAATTTTAGGTACAAACAAAAAATTAATGAAGACTTTCGTGGAAGATTCAGATCTGGGTACTAGATCAACTGAAATTATTCTCCAAAGGTAAAATGGAACGATTAGACTGTGGTTGAAGGAGCTCACACCAGATTGTTCATGTTATTTACTTGATGAGACCGGTACAGAAAATTTATCATTCATGAGCTCAACATTCGAGATTGAGAAATCAACTCGAATAGTATAGATGAAATGGGAGAAACACAGGAGAGAAAAAGTCAAGAAGCTATATAATAGAACAATAAAATCGAAGATGGTGTTCTGATGAAAATAACAGTTACCACAAGATACGGTCGAGTAGTTGAAACTCACATTGTGAATTGTTTGAGTTACTTCTCTGGAGTTTCGTAGCTCAGAGTGGGAGTATGTTGTGAATTGATTACCTTGTATTGAAAACATTAGTTTTTAATATTGTCAGATTGTGATTTTTTAAAGTTTAAATTATTGGTTGTCTGAATATATTTTTCATTCTTTTGGAGTTGTTTGGAGCTTCCGTCAATCAATTTTCCTCCACATATATCAGGTGTTCTTTGGAAAAGAAACAGATGTCTATGTTCATGTTCTATGTTCTATATACATGAATATTTTGTACAAAATAAAAGCACCAATAAACACATACGCGCGCCTCTGCTTAAGGCATAATTCTGAGTTCTGTGTCGGTAGTTCACGGCTATATGACAGCTAGCTGTCTACATACGCCAAAGTTAAACAATGATTACTATTCTGTGGTTAAACGTGAAAAGTCAATATTAGTTGTATCAAGGTCGTATTTAAAAACTGCGAGGTCATTACAGTTCAGCGGAAATATAGGGTCAGGAAATTTAAAAACAGGTTCATCGTAGTAAATTTATTCGAGCGAATCGAAAATCCCGTTGTAAAACTTCAATGAAGAGGAGAATGTTGTAACAGCCATAAATGAGAGCAGATTGGAAAAACTAGACCATGTGAGTTGATACTTTCATAACTTGGGAAGGAATTTTTATTGTTTCACTGGAAATGCATCATATATTTATTTCAATTTTTCAAACACAGACATACATCTATCTTTGACTTGTCTAGCAAAACAAAGTACTTTGCCAGTCATGTACATCCTTTCTCTTTCATTGCATATTCAGTGTTTATACTTCTCTCTCAGATGACTTCCAACTTTCCCTTCTATTTTAGTGGC